ACCTCCCCCATGGTGCACAGCCCGTTGCCAGTAGCAGCAGGTTTCAGGAGCTGCATGTGGTGGCAAGGAATAGAGCCAGACTGAAAAACATCTTCCTGAAAACATTTAATATCAGGGGCAGGCAAAATATGGCCTGCAGGCCAGATGTGGCCCGCCAGATTTTCATCCAACTTGCTGGTGCCTCCCAATTAATTGAACCCTGCCTGGCCTGTGCACTTCACTCCTTCACTTTTGTGTGGGAGGGCCCCACCCCAGCCAGCATGCACAGCATCCAGGTGGGGCCACTGCAACAGCCGGCAGGGGACTTGCTCAGCTTCCCTGGACTCCAGCGGCTCCTCATGTCCCTGCTGTAGCTCTTGCACCAGACAGCAGGTAGGGAAGCTGCAGCTAGGCAGGAGCTCAGAGCCCAAAATCTGGGGCCCATGCCTGCTGTGACTGTGGATCCCTTGTCAGCCTGCTTCCATCACATGGGTCTCCCCACAGCTCATGCACACATCCCAAGACTTGCATGTCACCGAGGGGAAGCCCCATGCAATGGAGCCAGTGGCCTAGCTCCACTCCCTGCCACCACATGCAGCACCCAGGACTCCAGCAATGTCCCAGGAGCTGCATGCTGGGGCAGGGAAGGAAGCCAGCTCCACCATATGGGGGGACACACATGGCATGTGAGTAGTGGGAGCTACACTAGCCACAAGGAGCCCAGCGCAATGAAACCAGGCTAACCTGGGCTCCACATCCTCACTAGGCATGGGCCCCAGAACCTGGGCTCTGTGCTCCTGCCCAGCTGCAGCTTCCTCCTACTCACCACCACTTCCCTACCTGCTGCCTGGAGCAAGAGCTGCAGCAGGGACACAAGGAGAAGCCGCCACGGGAGGTGGGGGAAGCTGAGCAGGTCCCTTGGCAGCTACAGCAGTGGCCCCACCTGTGCATGCTGGCCAAGGCTAGGGCTCTTCCACACACACAAAAGAAGGAGCTAAGCATACAGGCTGGGCAGGATACAGTTAATTGGCAGGCACCAGCCAGCTGGATGAAAGAAAAAAAGAAAGCCTGGCAGGACCTGTAAGCCATATTTTGCCCACCCCTGATCTTATGTGTTTTCAGGACAATCTATAAGGAAGAAAAGTTCTTCACACCCACCCTCCCCACATCCCTCCGAAGAGCTGAAACAAATGCAAAGAAAACAAAATGCTGGTCAAATGTCCACAGTCCAAGCTAAATTAAGTATATAAAAATAAGTAAGCTTTCAGATTATGTTGATTACCACTCTTTCAGATTAAATTACTATAATAGCCATTACCAATAACAAATTTGTTTCCCCTTTTTCTCCCACCACATTCTGTTTAATATCATACTAAGCAAAAGTTTTGGCTATTTTAATATACACAATTTTGAAGACTGTTGTAAAAGTTTATAGCTGAATCAGGCTATTGTCATTTTCTTAACTCAATCTCAGCTTCGATAAATGGTAGGCGTTGCAATTTTCTCAATTTTAAAAAGAAATGGAATTTGGGAACCACTGCCCTCTTTCTTTACTGTTTAAAACTGATTTTGCACCTCTATTAACAATGATAATTAGCCATACTAAAGAGTATGGCTAAGTGAAATTGTTGGCAGGGGAGGGGGTCTTGGTAATCTCAAATAATTTAAGACAGACAAGGCACAGTATCCATTTTAATGATTCTCAACCAAGATGCTACTGTACCCTGGGCTCCCTTGACATCATTTCAAAAGGCGCCACAGTTGTAGAACTGTTCAGTGTACAAACATGATTCCCCAAGGTAAACCTGAAAGATTTCAAACAGGATTACTTAGTGATAAAAAATATATATATTCTGACCTGTTGTGGTCTGAGTTCTTTGCAACAGAAGAACTGCTCTACTGTTTTTCTGTGGGGAAAATAAAAAGAAAGAAAAACTCCAACAAGCCAAAACTAGAAGTTGGCACAGGATCACTGACTGAAGACTCAGCAGTCAACAATTGGATGAGTACAAAACATGGGGAAAAGAGTTGGGGTGGGAGGGGGAGAGAGAGAACGAACAATCTTACGCTACATCCCTGCCAGCAATGGCTAGAGATCATGAACTTAGATATTTGTTTATCTTCCTGCATGTCTGTAGAGTACTTCCCCACTATATAATTAACTGTAATTTGGCTGGATATTTGTGTGGAATTCATTCATCTCTCAAGAAGCAATTCTCTGTTTTTATATTTTCCATGAAAACAAACATTAAATTTAAAAAGGAAGTGCAGCTTTGGATGGACTGTGGTTTATACTCAAGAAGATACCAGAATACTGAGCCATTAAAAATGAATGCCATCACACCTTCTGAACATTATTTTTGTTTTAGCCATAGTAGTTGCTATGTAACAAAAAAGCGTATGAAATCACAGGTTTAGAACTCTTTTCCATCTTTGCATTTTCTTAAATTTGAAAGTATCTTGGTACTAGACTTCTTTTCTGTCTCATTCTTTCCTCCCTCTCCTCATATTCCCCTCTGACACAGCTAGCCTTTTCTACCTTCCTCATTGTGGGGTCAGTCACCATTACCTATATAAAACCTAATAATATAGCCAAAACTCAAAACTGTTTTTGAGTATTTGGGTTTTTTTAATTTATGAAAACACTGAAATAGTTTCTCCCCTGAGCCCATTATCCTTGGGCAGAAACAAGTTAGAGTTATAGAAAACTGGGAATACTTACTACAAGATGCCATATATTAAAAGTTGCATTTACAAGCTCACTGTTTTGCCATTCATTGCCCACTCAAGAAGCCCTATACCAACCAATGACTGCCTAAGCAGAACAACATGACAACTACATGCCTTTCTTTATCATGTAGGATCTACTTAAACCTTTCAGAAACTAACACTTAAGAGTCACCAATAAGTTTAAAAATACAAGTACTTTCCCATTTCAGTTATGACCACTCTGAATTAAGATAAAAGACATTAATAAAAACATGAGCAAACGAAGGCATGTGCAGTCCATGAATGCAGCTATTGTTTCATTTCCACGGGTATATTACTCAGTCTTATCTAATGAAAGGTCTATTTTGGTACCCATGCAATCTTATGAATATTTAAATAGCAAATTTGTTTTTCCTTAATTACTCAAATATGTCTCTTTGAAGTATGCCTTACACTTTCCTAGCCCATAGGAAGGCTAGGGTTTGTAACAGAAATACAGCATTCACATAAACTTGATGTGAATTCAATGCATACTTAAATTCTTCATAAATTCCAATACAGCCTGTCACATCAAAAGCATTCGCTGAAGTTGGAGGAGTCAGCTCTCCTTCCACCTGCTCCAGAAGACAGCAGGGCTGAGGTTCCTCCCTCCAGTGAGAGTTTATCATCTTTTTGTGTCTGCTCCTTTCTTTAAGGGTGCCTATACATCTGCAGAGAGGCTGTTCTGATGTGTTAGTTACAATGCATTGGGGCAGACTCGATTGAGACTGCAGGGAACATGGCAATTACCGCTCTCTAGTGCAGCGGTTCTCAGTCTGTGGTATGGGTACCAGTGGTATGCAGACAACCTGTCAGGGGTACACATTAACAGGTTTATTATAGTTACTTCGAACAACAAAAGTGTGTTGGTGGTACTTAAGGCTGCATCATTTTAAATTGGTGGTATGCAATCCATCAGTTTGCAAACCACTGCTCTAGTGGACTCCAGCACTGTGTGCATCAGTAGCCCCGTGCTGAAAGATGGGGGGTGAGGGGGGTGCTTAAACTAAAGCTGGTTCAGCTACCTTTAGTTAAAGCATCCCCACTGCCATTTTTCAGCATGCAGACACCAATACACATGACCCTGTGGTCCATAGCAGCTCTTGCAGCCACTCTAATGGAAGTGCCCCCCCACCCCCCAGCATGTCTATAAAAGCCCCAAATGCCCACTCCTCTTTAATGATCTGTACAGACCCATTAACGCCTAACATCTATGAATCTATCCATTATCACCCTGTAGAACACAAAGCAATCAAAGACTACCTAGCTTTAGATACAGACTATTTTAGAAACACCCTTGCACAAAGATCTAGGGACCACCATTTAGGAGGCAAAAGCAAGCATTCCGCGCTCCGTTTAAGTCAGCTTAACACCTTTGGCAAAAAAAGGTTCTTGCACCCTGGCGGTCACAAAACGGGTATTAAGCAGACAGATGTGGCAAATCAGGTGGGCGCCGTGATTTCCTCCGACACCTATCTTGACAAAAGCGCCGCCCCCCCCCCCCTTGCAGCCCGGTCGCCACAACAGAGACTCCACAACAGCGGGGCGGGGCAGGCAGCGGCAGGCACTGAGCTAGCAGCTGCGCGCGAACGCCCCAG